CTTTTCTCTTACAAATGGGTCCGTTTTATGGCTTTGTTATCAATACCTGTTAAGCGAATTTTCATTGTAGAATGTCCATGCCGCCTTGGTCCGTTGCTAGCCATTGCTCCGTGTCATACTCATGATATAAACCGTATCATCCATTCATTTGTTGTCTTTGAGGAGAAAGCACTGGTTCGACTCTCGTATGCAAATGAGACAAGAACAGATCAACTTCCGGTATTGGGAGGTCATTTTGATTTCATTTTTAGTCCGTCAATTCTATTTCATTACACTTTATCTATCGATAATATTCATTCAAATAGTCTTAAAATAAGACAGTTAAATGTTAAGTATATTCAAAATTAAACACCAAGTCAGGATTGATACTTTTGGTCATATTACTTATTTGCAAAACGGTCCCGAAGACCGGATGTGACGTTGACACGCCCTCCTGCTTTTGATACAGAGAGAGAATTAGAAAGATTTTCAATGTTTTAAAACGTACAAAAAAATGGAATTATTTATGTATTATATTTCAATTTGTTAGAATTATTTAGCATGATCTTTCAGATTTATTAACTTTAGCTTAGCTAGTTGATCTTCCCGGTAATATGTTCCCATTTTATTGATTTTTTTATGGATTAATATGCTCAATAGGCCTATTACTAATCTGCTGATTGGATGATATTTTCTTGATTATTAAAACTGTAAATAATATCAGTGTATTTTGTCATTTACAATGAACAATATTGTTTTTTTGAAAAATAATAATCCTCGTCTTTTCTGGACATGTTTAGAAATAAGTGAAAAATATATATAATTTCTATACCCACGGAATTAGAATAGAGGGAAATATACCATATTAATTAATTCATTTGATAAAGCTTAATTGATACAATATGATCCGTTTAAACGTTTCGTATTGACTTGCCTCTTCTTAATTTGTGTTTTAATAAAAACAAGTTCATTTTCCTTGATACTAAATTGTCTTTTATTTTCACGTTTTGAATACTATAAACGAAATCGTCACATTTCAATAACTAAATTGCTATTGGTGTATGTGAGAATGAATGTGTGTGTAATATTCAATGATCTTTCTATCGTCCTGTAACTACTTTGTGTATTTGGAATATCATACGCATTCACTTTTGTAACGTAATAGATATCAATGTGTGGGACTTTATATAGTCATTCTTATTTTGGTTAAATATTTCTATTCAATTTGTATCGTAAAATCTTCTGAAAAATATACAAACAGGATTTTCACGTGGCTTTGCTTGACTGGTCACGTCGCTTTCATGTGTATATGTACATATCACTGGACATTTTATGTGGTTTGTGATTTTGAAGAAATAAGAAAGGAAATAGTTATCAAATATTAAACGAAGCGAATCTAGTCTTTGTAGTTATGCTATCAACATGTATTATCATACTGCAGAACACATATTATACAGTTTCCTTATGATGATTCATTCATAAGAAAAAATAATCGTTTTAAACATATTATTACATCTATATGATCGCAAACGTATCCCTGTGCTAAATGTTGGTGTGTGGTATGTATTCAGTATTGTACCCATTGAATGCGGATATGTAACAACTAAATAACATTTATCATGATTACTGCAGCGTAGTGCATACATCGAGATGTGATCTAGTAGTAATTCATTGCCGTGGGATGACAGGCAATTTTGCAGAAACGAATACATGAGTAATAGCTAGGTTGTCTGTTTTTCTGATATGTGTAAGCCTATGTGTAGAACTTCACGAAAATGCACGAAAGTCGATAACCGTCACAAAAATGTCAGTTGGTTCCGGCTGATTTTCAGCACTATTTCATTTTAAAAAAATGAAATCGTCGTAAAGAATATAAAATTTCTTGACAAATCTTGTATTGAATATTTAGTCAAACCATTAACAATTATGCGTCTCATTTGATTAACGAACGAAAAATATACACGTTATGATTGTTAATGTTACCGCTAAACGAAATCGTTTCCCGCTGGGTAGCTTAAAAAATCACACTGTTCGTATACAGTATGTCCTTTTAAATGAATTACAACAAGAAATGCATGTCAGAAATCCCTAAAATTTCGAAAATCACCGCTCTACATATATACATTAACTAAGGAACGATGTTGCATACATTTCTTCTTCGTGTGCATCAAGGGCTCAAGCAGGCACACAATTTTAAATAGGAAGGCTATGTTTTCTTCTCTGGAAAATAAAGTATTGAACAAAATTTTGACCATGACAAAGGAAATGTATTGTAATAGGGCCACATGCCAGATCGACCGGAAGTGGGCGTAGTATTAGTAGAAGCAGAAGTAATATGTCAACGGTAATATTGTCTGCTTCCGGTAGTAAGGAATTAGGATTAAAACACAAACCGGAAGCCGTGATGATTGTCAAGATTAAGTCAAATACACAATCCCGTAATGAGAGGCTATTTAAGATCAGGATTAGGTAATAATACGATGTCAATGATAAGTAGCTATACAACTTTACACCCACCTAACTCTTTACACGAACAGCATTTTCACAGCGACTGTTATAAGTACTGCATAACGTTATAACGGGACCGAAACCCATTGTGTCATGACGGAATTATTTATTAATCAGTAGATTTACATTTAAAATGACATCTCCAAGCAATATTTTCATACGCATCACTTTAAGAGTTTTCCCTCTGCTGGAATACATATAGTTTAGATTTGAAATGAGTGGTATTTTCACTTAAAATCTCATAAAATCGGCAAAATTAATTTTTAGTTTCCCTTATTTTTTTTTTAAATACTCTGATGCTTTTTCATTATCGCGTCTGCAATTTGAATAGGAGTTTCGATTCTGTTTAGCAACATTTCACATCTTCACATCAGATTTTTTTTTCATAATATCAAAGAATTGTTCAAGGAACGTTTCCATAAGTACCAAAAGTGAAATCAGAAAATATGAATAAAATACATCAGTCCATCTTTCAGTTCAGCTCAGCTGTCGTAATGCTAAACATATTTAGTCTAACAACTTTTATAACCATAATTTGGATAAAAGTTGTAAAGGAATACAGACTTTACATGTCGTTGTTCGGGCTAATAAACGGGACTCTTTAGTTAACAGTAGATTCGTCCTTATAATATAACTCCTATCGGGAACTGCGCCACTTGCCATAAACGAGAAATATTTTCTCGTTTATGGAAAGTGCCGACGGTTCCCGAGCGCTTATAACCTATCAGGTGGGGCTTTGAGGGGTAACGAAACGCAGTTAAAAATACAGAAAATCAACCCATCTTTGGGTTTAAATTCTATGTGGAGCCATGTCCTTTCTTGACAGGTGAAAACTCAGTGTTTATGATCTATCTTAAGTGTCATAGTACTTTGTAAAAAAATGTTTTAAATTCTAACAGCAAACAAACAAACAAACACATTATTTCAAGTGAAGAATCAATTAACTGTTTTATTTTAAAATATATTTCTTTCTCTACACAAGCAGTAGAATCTAAATTGTGACGTAAAAGAATCTGGAGTGAGCATCAGAAAAAGCAACTTTCAAGCAGTGATAATGTTTTGTGTGCGAGAAGGGACTATTACAAGCCACGGGGATTGGTTGGACAGACTGTAGACTTACACTCAGTTCACCCTTCCATTGATCATTCCGTCCGTCCGAAAAGTTTGTCCAACGCATATCTTCTATACCATTTCACATTGAGTAACAGGACTTGGTCTGCAAAAACCTCTTGGGATGATGTAGTGCAAAGAGCAGATATGATTTGACCTTTGGCCTTAACCTTTGAAAAGTTTGCCTGGGGCATATCTTCTGTATTTCAATTGGAGTAGGTTCAATTATTATCATTATAAGGCAGTTGTAACTAACAATTAAAAAATAGGACAAATTCAATGAACAATTAAGTTTAACTTTATATTATACAATTGTTTAATTTTGGAGTCCAGTGTAGAGGAGCTCTCTCGGCTCCTATATATTGAAAACTAACTTTAACTTAACTTAATATAACAGGATTACTTATGCGAGTTCACCTTTTGGAAGGTGGAATGAAGAGTACGAAAACTGAAATTTTAACCTTTAAAACGAGCTTGTCCGGGTCATATTTTCTATACTTCTTCACCATGATTTATCAATTATTATTTCACCTAGAGTAACCAGATTTGGAATGCAGCAGAGTACGATAAGTAGGTCACTTTGACCTATGCCTTGATCTTGACCTTAACCTTTAGAACAAGTTTGTTCGGGGCATGCGCCATCCGCTGCTCCCCATGACTACCCCAAAATCCTTTCTTCCCGACGTTTAAAAGTCTATTTTATTATTTTATGAAATTATGTTTTTGGACGAAGGCAAAGATAAGAAATGTGGTTCATAAAAATGGTCATTGTGGCGTGTATTTAGAGCGTATCTAAAATCTAAAAAAAAACACCTGAATGTTTTTAAAGGGGTTTCCGAGCCTCTTAAAGCTGTAATTGATGTGTGTGTGATCCCCCTCCTAGTCCACAAAAGGCCTTCAAGATGAATTTTATTTTAGTTGTCAACTGTTTCCTTTCAAAAAGTGATACAGCTGAGTATGATAATATCGGTATCGATAGACATAGTTAGTGATATTTTTTTATGATTTTATTATTTAGAATATTTAATAAGCAATTAGACAAAAAATATTCAAAGTTGAAAGATATTTAGATTTTTGGTTAAAATTTAAAAATAACCTATTGATGGCCTTTACAATGGCATTCCCTCATTCTGTTTAACAGACAGCAACCTATTATAGAGCTTGGCCAATAATAATTTTAGCAGGTCCCTGTGATTGACATACAAAATGTGGCATAACAGGTCCTACTGTTGCAGATGATTGCTTTCAGTCCATTCCGTCTCTGATTGTTGCCATGTAATACGTTTACTATTATATAATAATACCTTAATTTTGATTTTATCATATTTTTGCTCCCGGCAATAAGTTTCCAGGGACAAGCACCTTTAAATAAATCAGCGTCATTGAAAAGCTCAAAGGTAAAGAGAACGTCAAATTTATCCAAGCTTTCGTGTCACCGCGATCGATATACACTTTCGCGCCAACATGGACGATTCTGAAAGGTACACAAACATAGACCAAAGCTGGAAATTATTTGTAAACAATGTTGTTCTCTAAGTGGTTGTAGATAAGCAAGGTATATATCTTGCTTAATGATCTGCTGTCTTCATGTATGCAGTCCAGCTAGATTTCACAGTTGCATACGTGTCGATCAGATAATATCTGGACCAAAGCCAGCAGAGCGAAGGCCGAACAATAATGACCAACTAATGTTGTGAACACGGCTTCTCAGCGGTTCTCATTTATTTGTTATTTTGTTATGTATGTAAAACTGTTGTGTTGGGCTAATCAAAACATAATGTTAACGTCAGAAGCACATTACGACCAAAAGTCAATTCAATCGTACATCGAGAAGTAGATGTGATTCAAGATAATACAAATGTAATATTAGAATGATAGTAAATGTTATGCAAATTATCTGTGACTCTGTTGAGGTTTAATGGGTGATACCTTGTATTTGTCTATTAATTAATAAGTTATTTTCTTGCAGGTGTATTTGATTGAGAGGGCTCACTCTCATTCCTTGGCAACCCCCTATATCAATTATCAATCCATGTTAGGAATTGCAATGGATGAAGACGTAACAGATAAGGGAAATGAGCAGGTAAATAAAGGAATGATAACTACAAATGATTAAAGATTATATAGTTTGCATGCAGGGAGTACTAGTCCAGTCATTCTGTACCACTGGCAATCTGTACCAGTCCACCTGTACCAAGATTAGGTTATCCGTACAAATAATTCCAGTTCTATACCAAGGATTTAAGTTGTTCTGTACCAGGGGCAAAGTACCAGGTTGGTACTACTGTCTTGCTGTGCATTTCTCTTTCCTACAGAGATAGTGTCTGATCATGACAATGTAAGCACTTGCTACTATATGTGTTTGAGTACTTGAACAAGTTGTTCAATATCTTAAGAGGTAAATGAATCCCAAGACTTAATTTTTCATTGTGTAACAGGACTCAGGAAAAAAAATGCAACGGCCAGACTGGGATTCAAACCCTGGACCTTGTGAACTCTAGATAAACACTCTACCAATTGAGCTATCTGGTTGCCAACAATCGGCCCAGTTGTGTTCGGCTACAAAATCAATAGTACCAACAAATAAAATTGATATCTAATAGAGCTAGATTGGCTCAGTGCACAAGACGGGTGATTAGATATATCAATTGTTATACTCCACAGAGACCAAAATAGCTTGAATGTGGAGATATTTTCAGTTGCAATTAAATTTGTATATCCCAGGTTAGAATATTGGTTTGGTCTGATGGATTTATCCCCAACCCCATACTAGAATGTATTACAAATGTATCCTCAAGATAATTCCTTTTTCATATTCATGAAATATGACACTTTTATAATTCCTTAAAATTTGTAACATGCAACATATAAATTCACAGTGATTCTGTTTCATATAGAAATCATATTATAAATAAAATTCATACAGCATAAGTTCAGTCCACAACTGTTAATTTTTGTTGTTGTTGTAGATATCAAATGATTTGCAGTCTCCCCAGAGATCTATCTTGGATTTCTTCAAATCCCCAGACAAAATCAAACCTGCCAAGAAGCCCACCAGTCTTCTCTCCTTCTTCGGAACAGCACAGCAGAAGGACACAGAAAAACAACAGGTTTTAAATCTGATAAATTTGACTGTCTATTTATTCAAAGTGATTGTTTTGTGAATTGCAATCAAACCTTTTCCTCACAGACTTTGTCATTGACACCGTCACGGAACATACAATGATTAATACTAAGTAATCTGACTTGGTTATCCAAAGCTCTAGTATACGTACAAGTTGAAAAGATACTTGCTTGTCCTTCATTAATGTGATCAGTCAAGAGATTTATATCCCCAGCATGGAGTAGAAAACTATGGAGGGCATAAAACTCTATTTCATTAGAAATAAGGTGAAGCTCTACTACTCTAGTAAATTTTGATATGATAATGTAATAGTTCTGTATTTTAAGCAGTTTTAGAAAGGAATATTCTTCATTTGTGATTTATCAGTCAAATGATATTGTTATAACATAAATTTTACCATTCCAAAGGTCTAGTTAGGTTAGATGAATTCATTCGTCCTTACTGAAATCTGTTAGTCTTGACTAGGTTTACCAGGGCTTTATCCAGGTCCGTTTTACTTCCAGTGTTGGGTAAATTCCCCTCAGAAATCATGGTTAAATTTTCCTCTTTATCAATCATAATTTTCCTTTTTTTGGTTCTTAATTTCCCTTTAAACAAGAAATAATTAAATATAATGGATTGTCGAAGTCTAGTTTCTTCTGGTACCCATTGGTACATCGCTGCATACATCAGTTTTCAGAATCATAAGAATGTTTGTATTTGAAGGGGAATTTTCTTACCGATGGGAGAACCTTCACCCTCTGTACCCTTATGAGAGGGTATTCCCCCCCCCCCCCCCCCCCCCCCC